GGCTTCAGCCAGGACACGCAGGGGCGTGGTTCCCATACATGATGTTGTACCTCGTTCCTTTCCTTCAGGGAACAGTAGTTATATGCATAACATTACGTTTTCAAGCTTCAGACTGAACTGAAGCAGCTGCTGACGTCATTACGTTCTTGCGTGATGCTGCGTTCAGGACAAGCATGAAAAACTCACCACTCTTATGCCAATACGGTCGCAATGATACGTTTAGGTACCGAAATGGAATTGCATGAACATTCACGTGGTGGTTATGTTATACAGCCAATCGATAATAAAAAATCTGCGTCGACAAATTTACACAATCGACGTCATCGATTATTTCAACTAATCGGTGCAGCCCTAGTAAATATACAACAGTAATTTAAAATACTCGAAACATTTTAAACATTTAATTTCAGCAAACTTTGCTGCTCCTGGTCAGTTTTTTTTTCATAAAATTTGTTAAATAAAGAGATGTTTGTTTCTGGCCTGTTGATGTTTCTCTGAGGAAGAATGTCAAAGCACATTTGAAATAGTTTTAGATTGGCTGGCAAAAAAGGGTTGAACACTTGGGTCAAAATGGTGCAGTCAACATAATGGTTTGACAGTTTTCTCCATAATTTAGTGGAAAACAAAATGAACACACTTTGCCCAGCCAAAAATTGACCATTAATGCAAAGACCAGCCTCAGATTAGCCTCAGATCAGCCATTTTTACTGATAATTAAGATCAATCATATCACTTTCTGATACCATAAAAATTTGACACGCTCTTATATTATATTTGTACTTTTTTTTTGGTTTGAGAAGTTTTGTGCCAACTTTATTTTTAAGTGTCCATACATATTGATAATATGAGGAAAAAATTCAAACTATGCCTGATACTAAAGACGATAAATAAAATAGACAAAAAAAATTAACATGAAAGACTGGAGAGTGAAGGACAACACCTAAAAGCTAAGTAATGTTTAAAGACTGTTTAAGGTCATATGATATGATATGATATGATACAGTATATGATATGATATATGATATATATGATATGATAATTTCAACATTTAACACATCTGCAGTGTTATCCTGCTGTAATTACAAAACAACTTGAGAAAAAGCCAAACTTACAACTGTAGCTGATGCCACTGCTAATTACTGCTCAGCTCACCGATGCTAATGTCGTTAGCTTCAGTTGTGCTCACTTAAACTCATTAACGTAGCACCGACTGGTGCAGCGGTTCATTATTTTCCTGAGCAAGTCTGAACTACACACGACTCAGAAGGCAGAGAGCAGACATTTGAGACATATAAACCGTCCACAGATATCTTGACAAAGAATGAGAAGATTTTTGGTCTAAAAATGAAAATGACGTGAACCTCTTCAATAGCTTTGTAGTGCTACTTGCATCCTGCTGAGCTAATAGTGTCACTTTGAATCCTCTTGTATTGTGTTCCAAAAATGAGAGCTTTAATAAAATAGGGCACTGCTGTTATAGACCTTTCTGAGCTGAACTACATCTGATTCATGTACTGGTTCAGTTGGTGACTGCCAACTTACGGCAATAAATCAACCCAAAATCATTTCAATGGTAACATCAAAAGTAAAGTGTGCCATTAGCATGTCCAGTATGTTTGTTGTGTTGATTCATCTTGTGTAAACAACCATAAATCCCACAGGTCATAGCGAACAAAATCTGCAATTCTGTTGGATGAGTGTTGATTCAGAGACATGATTTCTGTTGGATGCACTCACCTCAATTTCTTTCCTGGTGAGTTCTGAAGCCATATAATTAACCCCTGGTTCCCGCAGTGGAAACAGCCTGGTAATGCAAAATAAAGCAAGAAACATTTTTTTAAATAAACCCCCAAATAATTTCTAATAAAACTGCATTTTAATTAAATTAATATGATGCAGGACCTTCCATCCTTGTACAGGTCATTTGAACATGTTTCTTCACCTGACTCATTAGAAATAAAGTGAAGGTGGGTGAAACTGTTCATTTATACTAAGTTTTCAAATGTACTTAAATTTATTTTCAAGGACAGAGTATTTCCAAGTCCCCTCTTTGCTCCGTAATGGGGGACAAAAAGCAACAAAAAAGGGGGCAGCATATATAACATGATCACAAACTCAGCAAGATACGTTGTAGTAGTAAAAATAATTTAATCTTTGTTCAAACTGAAAGTCTTTATGTTCAATTTGGGATTTTTGCTCAGACCCATTTTTTTGTGTGGTCATTCACATTATAATTTAAATTCTAGAACACACACACATATACAACATATTATATACA